AATACTTTAATTATCCATACCAAGGTATTCGAATATGAATACTTTAATTATCCATACCAAGGTATTCGAATATGAATACTTTAATTATCCATACCAAGGTATTCGGATATGAATACTTTAATTCTCCATACAAATGTATTCGAATATTAATACTTTAATTATCCATACCAAGGTATTCGAATATGAATACTTTAATTATCCATACCAAGGTATTCGAATATGAATACTTTAATTATCCCTACCAAGGTATTCGAATATGAATACTTGAATTATCCATACCAAGGCATTCGAATACAAGTACGAAAACTCCTAAAGTTATATTTGAATACGTTCGGATACGAATACCCTATGTCATTATTGTTAAGAAGCTCTTACCCTAATACTGATGTGTTGTGACAAATAAAACTGATAAAAAATTACAAATTATCAAAGTAATACAGTTCACACCGTGACAATTTGTTGTCAAGCAATTTGCTAAAATTAATATTATCTCAATATTTATTGCGCCTGTCGTATCTGAGCCGGCCTGAAGATTCCTGGCATTGAACGAAAGACTTGGTCGTCGGCACTAGATAATGGTTGACTTGGTTGTTGACACTAGATAATGGTTGACTTGGTCGTTGGCACTAGATAATGGTTGACTTGGTTGTCGGCAATAGATAATGGTTGACTTGGTTGTCGGCACTAGATAATGGTTGGCTTGGTTGTTGACACTAGATAATGGTTGGCTTGGTTGTTGACACTAGATAATGGTTGACTTGGTCGTTGGCACTAGATAATGGTTGACTTGGTTGTCGGCACTAAATAATGGTTGGCTTGGTTGTCGGCACTAGATAATGATTGGCTTGGTCGACGGCACTAGATAATGGTTGGCTTGGTCGGCAATAGATAATGGTTGACTTGGTTGTAAGCAATAGATAATGGTTGACTCGGTCGGCACTAGATAATGATTGACCTGATTGGCAGTAGATAATGGTTGACTTGGCAGTCGGCACCAGATAATGGTTGACTTGGTCGACGGCACAAGATAATGGTTGACTTGGTCGTTGGCATTAGATAATGATTGACTTGGTTGTCGGCAATAGATAATGGTTGACTTGGTCGGCACTAGATAATGATTGACTTTGTCGTCACTAGATAATGGTTGACTTTGTCGGCACTAGATAATGATTGACTTGGTCGTCACTAGATAATGGTTGACTTTGTCGTCACTAGGGAATGGTTGACTTGTTCGACGTCACTAGAGAATGGTTGACTTGGTTGTCGGCACCAGATAATGGTTGACTTGGTCGACGGCACTAGATAATGGTTGACTTGATCGGCACTAGATAATGATTGACTTGGTTGTCGGCACCAGATAATGGTTGACTTGGTCGACGGCACTAGATAATGGTTGACTTGATCGGCACTAGATAATGATTGACTTGGTTGTCGGCAATAGATAATGGTTGACTTGGTCGGCACTAGATAATGATTGACTTGGTTGGCACTAGATAATGCTTGACTTTGTCGTCACTAGGGAATGGTTGACTTGTTCGACGTCACTAGAGAATGGTTGACATGTTCGACGTCACTAGAGAATGGTTGACATGTTATCATACACTCCTCTTTAATTTCACTCGGTAGTTATTTTAACCACGACCTAATTATTTTTAAGACGTCTTGATTCCAAGCTCTGTGGACCGTGGACAGAAAGTTTGGTGAAAAACTAAAGCTAATGAACCAAACTTGTTTGGTTCCTCTCACGCCTGTTACCCTATCCTGATATGAGCTGTATTTGCATATTAATGAGTAAATGTATCGAAACTTCCACGTGCTCACGTTCCCTGTAGTGTTGCGCTTTTCACTTCCAGTCACGACTAAATAACTTACTAAATGAAATTAACTTCACAACTGAAACACACGTCTTCCCAGTAGCAGCTAACACTATTGGTAATTATTTTAAGATGTAATCAAAAGTAACTACATTCATCTTCGCCGAGATCTTATTCTGTTAAATAAATTATTAGTTTTGGACTGAACAATGTGTCTACCATGATATTCTAATATAACACAATAGTAGATTATGGTAATACAGTACAATCTGTTCACACAGAAATTAATTGTGTTAACACAAATCGTTAGGTGCTTTGAAGTTGCAGTTATGGAAAAAATGCGTTTACTTATACGTTATTTGAACGTTGGTTTCACATACTCATGAATCCTATCTTTGAAAGCTTTATTGTGCCCTAAATGCTATACAATATTCATAAACATCACGCTTGTGGTAAATCTAATCCAAGAAAGTGAACAAAAAAAGTTTTGATTATTATCAAAGTGATATCTTATAACGCAAAATGGAATATAAATTTTTAAAGGCAAGATTTTATTATTTTGTAATAGAGCCAGCCACTGTACGTGTAGCAATAGCTCGATTCAAAACTACGGAAATTTGGCAAAACTAAAATAAAAAAACAGGGATCGAACTTTTTTAAAATATGAAGCATATTTATATGATACATACACACTGTACGAAATAGAAGGTTTGATATTTATGATATTTTTGTTTTTACAGACAAACACCACTATTAAAAATGTCTTACTTAATTTAAATACAAATATTCTATTGAGCACTCAGTTCATGAAACACTGGTTTTACATATTTACAGTTCATGAAACACTGGTTTTACATATTTACAGTTCATGAAACACTGGTTTTACATATTTACAGTTCATGAAACACTGGTTTTACATACTTACAGTTCATGAAACATTGGTTTTACATATTTACAGTTCATGAAACACTGGTTTTACATATTTACAGTTCACGAAACACTGGTTTTACATATTTACAGTTCATGAAACACTGGTTTTACATACTTACAGATCATGAAACACTGGTTTTACATATTTACAGTTCGTGAAACACTGGTTTTACATATTTACAGTTCATGAAACACTGGTTTTACATACTTACAGTTCATGAAACACTGGTTTTACATATTTACAGTTCATGAAACGCTGGTTTTAAATATTTACAGTTCATGAAACACTGGTTTTAAATATTTACAGTTCATGAAACACTGGTTTTAAATATTTACAGTTCATGACATCTCGCTTCCATATAGAGTATTGTCACCACGATCAGTATAAGCAAACTAGAACCGACGTTTTATGCTTAAAATCAAAAATCAATGCTAATCAGTTCCCGAGGTACTTTAGACCACAGCTCTGTCTCCAGGCTATGTTTAGTGTCTTCAGTGGCTTCAGAGGCATATCTTATTCGAGATTCCATATTTGAACGAAGTGGCCGAATAATATCTTCTTCACGAATTGTATAAAATAGCTGAACACGGTGGGAGTGAGCGTTATCATCCATCAGGATATAATCACGGCCAATCATGAGATAATCATGGCCAATCAGGATGTAATCACGGCCAATCATGATATAATCATGGCCAATCAAGATATAATCACGGCCAATCAGGATATAATCACTGCCAATCATGATATAATCATGGCCAATCAGGATATAATCACGGCCAATCAGGATGTAATCACGGCCAATCAGGATGTAATCACGGCCAATCAGGATATAATCACGGCGAATCAGGATGTAATCATGGCCAATCAGGATGTAATCATGGCGAATCATGATATAATCATGGCCAACCAGGATGTAAACACGGCCAACCAGGACATAATCACGGCCAATCATGATATAATCACGGCCAATCAGGATATGATCACGGCCTATCAGGATGTAATCACGGCCAATCAGGATATAATCACGGCCAATCAAGATGTAATCACGGCCAATCAGGATATAATCACGGCCAATCAGGATGTAATCACGGTCAATCAGGATATAATCACGGCCAATCAGGATGTAATCACGGTCAATCAGGATATAATCACGGTCAATCAGGATGTAATCAAGGCCAATCAGGATATAATCCGGCCAATCAGGATATAATCACGGCCAAACAGGATATAATCACGGCCAATCAGGATGTAATCACGGCCAATCAGGATATAATCACGACCAATAAGGATATAATCACGGCGAATCAGGATGTAATCATGGCCAATCAGGATGTAATCATGGCGAATCATGATATAATCATGGCCAA